CGCAGTTGCGGCCGCCTCTTCCCGGCGTGCGGGGAAGAAGGGTCTTGCTCGTGTTTTCCTTAAAGCCTTCGTCCAGCAGCTACCTGTCGCTTTTCCACAGTTACGGGAAGCAGGAGTGTTTTGTTAGCATTTAAAAGGGGAGCACTTGGGTTTCAGCCTGGTACCGGCTGAGCGCACTCCTGGTGGGAGCAGGGATGAAGGGAGCCCAAGCTATGTGTGACATCCTGAGGGAAAATGGGACACACGGGGCCGTCCGGGCTCCCAGGGGAGCTGGCTGGCCAAAAGCCCAACCGCTCAGTCCTCTCACAAATAAGGTGTTTCAGCAGCTGAAAATACATATATATGTGTTATTAAGAGAGCCCTTCCACTATGGTGTGGGAGCACCTAGCAGGGACACAGTTACTGGCCTACCTAACATCAATCATATGTGGCTTGTTTTCTCCCACATCCGTAATTTGAGGAAAATAACACACGTTATTATTTTGTATTTTTCTAAGCTGTGGTTTGCTCCGAGCAGAAGATGGCCAGTGTAGTTCCTGTGTGAATGTTTTTCCCTGGCTCTGGAATCTCTAGGAAAGCCCCTGGAAAGGTCTAAATCTCTCTTCATACCGGGCAATCACTAGATGGTTTTTACAATCCAGATGGAGATAACACTTTACACTGGGCTGATGGACAGTGCATCAGAAATTTAAAAAAGGCCATTGTCAGGATTGATTTAGAATAATTCCGAGAGGTCTTTCATTTACTTGTAACATCTTGCAGATTAAGACATCTCTTATCGGGAAAGGTTCAGATCTTGGAACTTTTGGCTTGATACGTGCTTCTAAAAAATCTTGATCTGGTTGTCAATCCTACTTTTTTTTTTCTTTTTTTTTTCTTTTTTTCCATTCTCTTGCAAGATTACCTCCTTCTTATAGGCCTGGCTGGGTGTACCCAGCATCTCTCCCAACTGCCCAACTGCAAACAGAGGCTGTTAATGGCAGCCTTTGTCTTAATTTACAGCAAACAAATGGCTAATTGCTAAGAAAAGTCACCCCTCTGTGAGAGGGCATAGTTCAAACCATAGGGTACGGTACTGTGCAATATGGCAAGACAAATTGATAGTTTGCTGCCACCCAAAGGGAAAAGTGCAAGAAAATATCCCGCTTCCCCCACTCCTCTGTCTCCCTCTGAGCCACTTACTGTTTAGCAGACTGGCATTCATCACACTTTTTTTTTTTTGTGAGCTGCTTTTAACTCACTACCATCTGAAAAGAGCCTTAAAAAAAAAGAAAAAAAATCGTATTATACCAGATCAATAGGATCATGGAAGAGTCTGAAAAGTGCCAGGGTTGTAGCAAGGTGGGAGGCAGACAGAAGAATGGAGAGGGGATCCTCTCCGCAGCAGAGAGCAGAGAGCAGAGTGGGGCTGCAGCTCCGTCATCTGCCAAAACTTACTGTCCATGAAGAGCTGTTGTCATTCGTACTCCATACTGATGGAGAAAGCAGAAGCACATGCACATGACATTGGACTCCTTGAGATCAGACTCCAAACAGGCACGTAGTGTGATGATGATGGATTTAGAAAGCCTGCCTCAACTCTGAGAATCACTAAGACTTATATATGCTGAGAGGGATGGGTGGGTTTGTGGGGTGCTTTCTGGATAGCGCTACTGCATTCTGTACCATAGGTCTAGAGACCTGTGTTTTTTATGTTTTTACTTATCAGGCTGGCAAAACCTTTTGTTCCATGGTTTCTCATAAATCCTTCATAATAAATAAGACCATTGAAAAGGAGAAATCCCAGCTTTACTAAGCATCCTGTTCACATGATTGTGGTTTCCAGCACCAGCTGCTACAGAGTGGAAACCAAAAGCCTGAAGCACACCCTTTTTCTGTTGCATAAGCATATCATTATAGTCAAAGATCTAGGGTTATAGATCACTTTTAAATTAGCCTGCTAGGTGGTGCTATAGGACATGCTCTAAGTTACCCACAAAAAAAAAAAAATCAATTCTGTTCCATGCTTTACAAGAAAAAAGAATATAGGTGTCTGCCATCACCTGCCTCTCTAACTTGCCATTTTCTGTATGAAACCTTGTTACTACATTAGCTGAAAGGCTGAGTTTTGTTAAAGTAAAGAATGAGAGCCGTTGACTTCTATTTCTCCTAAGGAATGTGTGCATCTCATAAGCAAATATGTCAGCTTCACTTGTGTGATCTCCAAATATTGTCAGCTGGAGAATATTCACCAGTCTGAAGTATACATGATTCCTCCCCCAGCCTCTTCCTTCTCCATGGAGTCCATTTGTCTGACCCTTTGCACAAGTTCTGTTGTGACCCAGCGCCGAGGCACTTGGACCTGAAACAGATTTACTTTAGTTTCTATGGGATGGTTCTATGGTCAGTTATGAATGAAAATTGTGTATTTTTTTTCCCCAAGCCCTTCTTTATGTAATTCAGTTTTTGCATGTGTCAGATGGAACGGATACTGTGGGATTCTGGCACTAGTGAAGAGTCCAAGTCTATAAGAAGAGTAACATCAATAGCAGTGAGAGATTATAAAGTCTACAGGACAAGGATCATCTGCTGAAAACTACTGACGTGATCTTGAAAAGCAAGGGACTGTACAAGTGTGGACATTAGGGATTTCTATGAGAGGTTTTGTAAAATAAAAGAGAAAGACAAGCAGACAGAGAAGGACAAGTCTGATGAATAATACAGGGAGCTTTGGAAGACAAAAGGATCCTAAAGTGAGAAATGGCAGGAGATCTGGGGAAGATCTTGTCCATGAAGGAGGGTTTGACATGTCAGTGTGTTTGTCACGCAGCTCCTGGGAACACTTCAGTGTTGCAGACTGTAGTACTACAGTGGCAAGTGGTGAGCACATGGAGGGGCACTGCAAGGCCCTTAAGCAAAATACATGCATAGAAAGTACCTATATTAAGGGAACTCGCAATGACCCTTGCAGGAAGTACTTGCAATTCAGCAGAAAAAGGGAGACAATGCGCTAAAAACTGATGTGCTAAGGGAACACCAGGATTCTTGACATATGTCGAAAGATCGAGCTTGTTCATACTTAAATAGTCATCGTACTGCACTGGAGAGGAAGAAAAGCTCACGGCAAAACAGCTTTCCAGCTTGTCAGTCTGAGCAAGCTGCATGTCTTAATGTTACAGCTAATAACAAGGCAACAGTGGGATTGAAATGTACAGAGGGTTGACCAAGAGTGCAAGCTGTAGCAAA